CCCCGCAGGAATGGGGGTGCAGAGCCCAAGGGGATCAGACGGACGGACTTTTGGTTTTGCACGTAGTGAACACCTTTCTTGGAGGGACAAAGCTTTTATCGGGTGGGCGGGTGTGAGAACTCCCCAAAAACCTCATTGCCCCCCAAATTTCTGCGAGGGGATACCCACCCATGAACCCCCTCTGTGGGGATACCGGCTGCGAGGCTGCAGAGGGCCCTGAGGGGGTGGTTGCACTGCAGGAATCCCGTGAGGGTGTTAAATGAAGGACCCCCCAAAAAATGTCCCCCCAGCGCTGCCTCCGGTCCCAGTCCGGAGAACCGGGCACTACCCGTCACAAAGATGGCGCCGCCGCCTTCACGTAGGGTTGGGCAATGCCAACCACAAAGATGGCGGCTCATTGCCCAGCCCGCCGTCCCCTCAGCAAAGATGGCGGCGGCAGCGTCACTCCAGGAAGAGCGCGCCGTGCGTGACGCATGCGCAGAGGGGGCGGCGAGCCCGTGGCTGCCCGGGCAGGGTAAGGGGCGGCGTGGCGGGGAGGATTTTGGGGGGGTCGGGGGGGTCCTGAGGGGTGCGAAGAGGGGAGTGAGACCGCTGAGGAGCGGAGGGAGAGTGGGTCCTGATTGGGGGTGTATAGGAGGGTGAGAATGCTGGGGAGAGGGGTGAGAGTGGGTAAAGGGGACAAGGAGGGGCCTGAGACCCCTGGGGAGGGGGCGCAGGGGGCCCCTGGGGGTCTGAGGCCCGTGAGGAGGGGGCTGCGAGTGACTTCGGGGGGGTGTGAGTGGGTAATGGGGGTCTGAACCCCTGGGGAGTGGGGGTAAGGGGGTCCTGGGGGGAACGGGGGGGACACTGAGACCCTCTGGGAGGGGAGAGCAGGGGGATCGCGGGGGCTGAGACCCCTGGGGAGGGGGCGACAAACGGGCCCTGTTTGGGGGTGTATGGGGGGGCTGAGAAAGCTGGGGAGGGGGGCACAAGTGGCTCCTGGAGGGTGCAGGGGGGACACGACCCCTCAGTGGAGGGGGCTACACGTGGACCCTCTTCGGGGGTTCATTATTTGGGCTCTGTTTGGGGGTGCAGGACCCCCCCTCGAACCCCCCGGGTGTCCCTGAGCGTGTCCCCTCCCCCCAGGATGGCCGAGGGGGGCTCTGGCAGCTCCGGCTCCCCCGGCAGCCTCCGGCCGGGGCTCCCGGGGGCCCGGGGGGTGCTGGGCAGGCGCCCCGCAGCCGCCCCCCTCAACCCGGGCCGCCTGCCCTCCATCCGCTCCCGAGACCTCACCCTGGGGGGCGTTAAGAAGGTGAGTGTCACCCCCCCACCCCCTCCCCAAATTGGGGTCACACAATGTCCTGCCCTGGCGAGGCTGGGGGTGGGTGCTGAGAGACCCCGGGCCCGGTTTTGGGAGTGACTTTTTCTCTCTGCTCTTGGCCACAGAAAACCTTCACCCCCAACATCATCAGCAGGAAGATCAAGGAGGAGTGAGTGGCCTTGGGATTGTTTCCAGAGGGGGCGGGGGAGGATTTGCCAGCAAGCGGGTCCCCGTGGGTAAAATGGGGGGCACAGGGATGATTTGGGGTCTGGAACATCTCTCTGAGGAAGAGACTGTGGGAATTGGGCCTGGCTGGTCTGGAGAAGGGAGGAGTGAGAGGGGATCCCATTGATCCATATAAAAATCCCAAGTATCCATGGGAATGTCTCAGATATCCATATAGATATCCCAAATATATATCCCAAATAAATATCTCAAATATCCATGCAAGTATCTCTGGGTGATGTCCAGAGGTCTCTTCCAAAACAATCCATGTCCTGGGATGGGCTGGGGGTGATTTGCCACCTCCCTGCCCCACAGGCCCCGGGAGGACGTGTCGGTCAAGAAGGAGAAGAAGGAGCGGGAGCGGCAGCGGGATGGGCACAGCCGGGGCCGGGGCCGGCCCGAGGTCATCCAGTCCCACTCCATCTTCGAGCAGGGCCCTGCTGAAATGATGAAGAAGAAAGGTAAGGGGAGCTTCCCTCTGCTTTTTGGGGGGATGGGGGTCCCACCTGGGGTGACCCTGGGCTGCTCCTCTGTCCTCCAGCAGGCTCCTGGGACAAGAATGTGGACATGTCTGACTTTGGCCCTTCCCACATCATCAACATCAAGAAGGAGAAGCGGGAGACAGACGAGGAGACAAAGCAGATCCTGCGGATGCTGCAGAAGGATGATGTCAGTGGGCAGAGAAGGGGGTGGCTTTGGTGCCACCGGGGTGGTGCTGAGTGTCCCCTGTCCCATCAGGGCAATGCTGAGTGTCCCCTGTGCCACCACAACAGTGCTGAGTGTCCCCTGCCTGTCCCCACAGTTCCTGGATGACCCGGGACTGAAGAACGACATCCGGAACAAGCCGGTGCAGCTGCCCCTGGCACACTCGGGGTGGCTCTTCAAGGAGGAGGCGGCAGAGCAGGAGGACACGCAGCCATGGCTCCCTGGATCCAAGGAGGAGAAGATGGAGCTGGACCCACCAGTGGTGAAAGGTGGGCTGGGGAGGGCTGGGGACACAGCGGGGACAAGCTGGGGGTGTCCCCCTTTTCCCCGTGCCCATGCACCACCTCTGCAGTGAAGGAAGAGCCGTGTGAGGAGGATCCCAAGCCGGCTCAGCCCAAGGGCCCCCCCGGATTCCCGCGGGATGTGTCGGCGGCCGAGCTGCTGCAGCGGCTGAGCCTGGCGGCCGAGGAGGAGCTGGTGTTCCTGCAGCTTCCCGACACCCTGCCTGGGCAGCCCCCCACCCACGACTCCAAACCCATCAAATCCGAGCTGCACAACGAGGACGGGCAGGTGGTGGTGGTGAAGCAGGAGAAGAGCCAGGTAGGGGCTCGGTGGGGGTGTCCCCTCATCCTGGGGTGGGATCCCTCCTTTGGAGTCATCTCCCCCAAGCCCATGAGGATGTCCCCTCATCCTGTGGTGTCCTTTCCACCCCATCCTGTGATGTCTCTCATCCCCATCCCATGATGTCCTTTCCACCCCATCCTGTGATGTCTCTCCATTCCATGGTGTCACTGTCCCCCACATCCCGTGGTGTCCTTTCCCCCACATCCCATGATGTCTCCCCCTCATCCCATGGTGTCATCTTCCCTGGTCCCATGGTGACTTCCCTGCTGTCCCATGATGTCCTCCCCCATCCCATGGTGTCCTTTCCCCTCCAATCCTGTGCTGTCCCCTCATCCCATGGTGCTGTCCTCCCCATTCTATGGGGTGATCCCAGTCCTATGCTGTGATCCCAACCCCATGGTGTGATCCCAGTTCCTTGGTGTGACCCAGTCCCTTGGGGTGATCCCAGTCCCTTGGTGTGACCCAGTCCCGTGGGGTGATCCCAGTCCCGCTGTGCCGTGGCAGGAGGCGAAGCAGGCAGAGAACACCTGCACCCTGGCCGATCTCCCCGAGGGGCAGGTGGGGAAACTGCTCATCCGAAAGTCAGGAAAAGTGCAGCTGGTGCTGGGCAAGGTGACCCTGGATGTGACCATGGGCACCCCCTGCTCCTTCCTACAGGTATGGAAGGGACACTGGGACCCGATTTGGGGGGTTTCACCCTGAGGTAACCCCCCATGGGGTCGTGCTGGCTCTTGGGCATCCCTTCCCTGTGGTCACGGTGGGGAAGGCTCCTGACGGCCCCCTCTGGGGACATCTCCAGGCTCAGCATTGGAATCTCCCAGGGATTCCTGTGGCATTGGGCTGCTCATGGGTGTTTCTCCTGCACGGAACAGGAGCTGGTGTCTGTCGGCATCGGGGACAACCGGACGGGCGAGATGATTGTGCTGGGCCATGTGCGGCACAAGCTGGTCTGTTCCCCGGATTTTGAGGCTCTCCTGGAGCACCGGCACCGGTAGCCGAGGGGGTCCCGGCCCCCCAGCCCCCGGGGACGGATCCTCAGCCCCTCCAGATGTGCCTTTGGGACGTGGGGAGGGGGCTTGTGCAGGTGTGAGCGCAGAGGCAGCTCCCACCACCTTCCAGCCCCGCGGGGTGTCAGGCTGTGTCCCCCAAACCGGCAGCTTCCCCCCAGTGCCAAACGGGGATCTCGGGATGTGTGGGACTGTGGTGTGTCCCCCAGCTTTGCTGGGAGCAGGACACACTGTCCTGGGGGAAAAACCTGGAATAAAACCTCTTTTCCCCCTGCGTGGGGCTGCTCGGTCTTGTTCTGTCACCTTTGCTGAGCCCTGCGAGGCCTTGGGGTCCCTGGGCATGGCTGCAGCGGGTGACCCCCACCCTGTCCTGGGGGGTGACAGGGAGACAGAGTTCCCTGGGTGCCACCAGCCCCTGGGCAGGGAGCAGGGATGGGGGGCACCAACCACCTAGGCAGGGTGATCATGTTGATCTCCCGCCCTATCCCATCTTAAACCCTGCTGTTCCCACCGCATCCCGTTTAAATCCCCCCATATCTGACCTTACCCTCCCAATTCCATATTATCCCACACTCCTGCCCCATCACAGCCTGTCCTCCCCATCCCATATTACCCTTGCTTCCCACCCCATCCCCTCCTACCCCCAGTTTCCTGGCCCATTTTACCCCTCCAATTCCTTCTCACCCCCTCTCCTGCCCCATCCCGCCCCATCCCATCCCATCCCCCGAATCCCTTCTTAACCCTCTCTTGCCCATCCCATATTACTCCTGTTCCCACCCCAACCCCTTTTAGTCCCCGAATTCCATCTTCACCCTCCCCTGCCCGTCCCATTTTATCCCCCAATCCCACATCATCCCCCCCACCCCTTCCCGCCCCCATCGCAGCTTCCTTTCCTCCCATCAAGCCCACGCACTAATTTACATAACCACACCCCCCATTTGACCACGCCCCCTTTCGCACCCGCGCCCTTTTCTCGCGCGCTGCCCTCAGGGCCCGCTTCTCGCTCCGCCAGGGGGCGCCGCGGCGTGGGCGTGTCCTCAGCGCCGTCCAATCAGCGCCGCGTGGGCGGGGCCGCGCGTGCGCTCGGGGCGGCGGCGGCGGCGTGGCCGCGGCTCCGGGTGCGCCTCGACGGGGCGATCATGGACGCGCCGCGGCCCTTCCGCCCGCCCGGGCCCGGGCTCGGCCCGGCCGTCCCCATGGCTCGGGGGCTCCGCGGCCTCTCGGCCTTCTCCTCTCGCCTGCCCTCGCCCGGCCCCGCTCAGCCCCGACCCCCGTCGTCGCCCTTACCCGCGTTGTTCCGCGGGCTGGGCCTGGATGAGCGGCCTCTGGAGAGGCCCCTCGGTAGGTGCCGGTGGGGGGGAGGGGGGGCGGAGGGCACCAGCCGAGCCCCGGTGCTCACGGTGCCCGTGCTCACGCAGGCCGGGGTGGTGTTGGCGATGGGAAGGCTCTGGCTCGGCCCGGCCCGGTGCAGCAGCAGCAGCAGGAGGACAAAGGGGCAGCACTGGCGGCGCTCCCCACTCGTGGGCAGTGAGTCCATCACACCCCTAAAGCCCTAAATCCTCAGTGCTCACCCTCCTCTGGGTCCTCCTCTCCATCTTCCCTGCCCCCGTTCCTTCTCCCCTTTCATCCCCTCTCTCTTCCCATGCCTCATATGTCCGCCCCGTTCCCTTATTCCCTCTGTCTTCCCCATCTCCGCTGTCCCTCCTATCCCTTTATCGCAAATATTGGCTGTTTTGAGCCCCCCCAGGCTGCTGTGGGGCAGGAGTAGGGGAATTCCGGGGGTCGGGGTCATGGCTGGGGGTTTGCAGCCAGGACAGCCCCGCTGTGTCCCCAGCGTGTGCCAGGGCTCACCCCAGTTCGCCCTGGGGACGCAGGATCCTGTGGAGAGGCAGAGGGGACACGCTGCCCACCCAGCCTGGAAGAGCCGCCGCTGTGCCCGTCCCGTGCCCGCCCGGCCCCCAGCCCTGCCCGACGCCCCTGCCCACCCCGGAGACCCCCCCAGCTGCTGCCAGGCCGTAAGTGATGGCCCCAGCCCCTCGTTTTGGGGTTCGGGTGTTGCTGGGTCGCTGCTGACCCCTGTCCCTCGCAGGACACAGGGGACGAAGCCGGTGGGGAAGGGAGCCCCCGTGTCCGTGGGGCTGAACTTTGTAAAGATCCACTGCCAGAATGAAGCTGTCTACCAGTACCACGTGACTTTCAGGTGATAATGGGGGACCGGGGTCCCCCACAGCCCCTCGAAGGTCCCCCAAAGCTCCTTGAGGTCGGGGTGTCCCCGACTGAGGGCAAAGCCCTCAGTGTCCCTCCTGCTGTCCAGACTGCCATGAGGTGGAGCGGCCCCAGTGCAACAAGGAGCTCTGGGTTTTCTTTGGGGGGGATTTTTGGGGGGCTGAGCAAGGTCTGGGGGAGGCAGAGGAGGGAGAACAGGCCCTGTGTGCCCCCAGCCCTGAGGTGGAGTGCAAGAGTGCCCGCTTTGCCATGCTGAAGGAGCAGTGTGCCGTCACTGGGGACGTGATGGCCTTCGATGGCTCCATCCTCTTCCTGCCCATCCAGATCCCCAAGGTAAGGGGCGGGGTGGGGTCTCACCCAGTTTGGGGGTACAGGGGTGCCCCTGTTTTGGGTTGGAGAACCCCTTCTGGCCCTGCCAAAGGTCAGTGTGAAGGCTCGGAGGAAGAACAATGAGGAGATTTCCATCAACATCCAGATGACCAAAATCCTGGAGCCCAGCTCGGATCTCTGCATCCCCTTTTATAACGTGGTTTTCCGCAGGTGAGAGGCCAAAGAGACCCTCCCTGAGTTCCAGGGAGGAGACTCCTTTCCTCCTTCCTCCTGCCAGTCCTCATCCATTTCTCCTTTTCCTGCTCTTTCTTCCTTAGGGTGATGAAAATCCTAAACATGAGCCTGGTTGGGCGACATTTTTTCGAGCCTGCCCAGGCCACCACTCTACAGAAATACAGGTGGGTGCTGGCATCTTCCTTCCCACAGGATCATCCCTGGAAACTGGGAAGATTTCCCAGGTCAGCTCTGACTTTGGAGCAGCTGTTCTGAGAAGCTGAAATAAATCCCTGAGTTTTGGGTATTCCTTGGCTGCTCTGGGTTAACCCAGGTCTGTTTCCCTCTGGACACAGCCTCCATATCTGGCCGGGATACGCTGTCAGCATCCGTAGGAAGGACGGAGGGCTCTTCCTCATGGTGGACGCCATCCACAAGATCATCCGCAGCGACTCCGTCCTGAGCGTGATGTGAGAAGAGCGGCAAAAACCCCAAAAGCTTTGGGGACGAGGGTGCTGCAAAATGTGCTTTATTTTTGGGATAGGGAGGGGAGGCGTTCCACACTTCTCCTCTTTTCCCAGGCAAACCATCCACTCCCAGAGCCAGAGGACGTTCCAGGATGAGTGCACCAAGCAGCTGGTGGGGACCGTGGTCATGACCCGCTACAACAACCGCACCTATCGCGTGGACGACATCGACTGGGACAAGACCCCCAAGGACACTTTCACCCTGGCCAGCGGCCAGGAGATCACCTTTGTGGAGTACTACAGGTGAGGAGGAGCTGCTGCCTCGTCCCGTGGGAATGGGAAGGGCTCCGTGCTGATCCCAGGTGCGGGAGCAGGGAGGTTTCCCGCAGCCGGGATTTGGGATTGAGTGTTCTGTGAGATCCATTCTGAACCGGCATTCCGGCGTTGTGTGACGATGCTGTTTTTCCAGCCAGACCTACGGGATCACCATCAGGGAGCTGGACCAGCCGCTGCTCGTCCACAAGCCCAAGGAGAAACTGCTGCCAGAGGGGAAGGTGAGCCAGGCATGGAGATCCACAGGCTGCTCTGGGCTCCTCCAGCCCCTGGAGAGCAGGGATTCCCAAGCCCTGGAATGCTGACAGTGCCTGTCCCTCCCTGCAGCGCCAGCTGGAGTTGGTGCTGCTCGTGCCGGAGCTCACCTTCCTCACCGGGCTCTCTGACCTCCGCAAGAACAGTCGGATGCTGAAAGTCAGAGCTTGTCTCATCCCCTCATCCCAGCTTTCCCGAGGGTCTGGGGGGAGCCCCAAGCCCTCCCTCACCCTGCTGGGTGTTCCTGGTGCAGGAGGTGATGTGGGAGATGATCCAGAGCCCCCAGCAGCACTACCGGCGCCTCACCAGCCTCCTGTCCCGCATCCGGGAGACTCCGGACGCTTCCCGGGAGCTGGAGCGCTGGGGGCTGTGCCTGGACACGGATATCTACAGGGTAAGGGCTGAGGGGCTCCCGGCCTTCCCTCTGGGTATGGAGGTGGTGGAGGCAGCTCCGGAGATTCCCGCTCTGCCCAGACCCAGGGTCACATCCTGCCCGTGGAGCGGATCAACCTCCGGCACCGCTCCTTCCTTCCCGCCGAGGACCTGGGCTGGCACCGGGAGGTGACGAAGGAAGTGCCCATCGCCGTGGTGAGCAGCAGCTTCCCCTGCTTTGGGAAGCTGGGATGAGTTTTCCTGAGTGCTGGCATTCTGGCTGAGCCGCTTCCAGCACAAACCCTTCCCTTGTTTATGTTGGATTTGCACTCCAGGCTGTTTTTCAAAGGAGTTGGAGGTATGTGGCTGTGGTGTTGGCTTTTCCACCCCATCCCAGGGTGGAGGGAGCCTTTCACATGCAGGAATTGGATGGAATTTGATCTAAATTTCTCTTGGGCCACTTTTCCTTTCCCAGATTCCCCTCTGTGCTGCAGGTTCCTCTTGGCCCGAATTGCCTCTCCCAAATTTTCCTCTCCCAAAATCCCTGCTGTCCTCCAGCTTCCTCTAGGCCCAATTTTCCCCTCCCAAATTTCCCTCTGTGCTCCGTGGGTTTCTCCTCTCCCAAACAGGAATGTGCTGCATGGACTGGGAGCTGCAGAAACACCTCCAAACCACGGCCTGTCCTGGCTTCTCTCCCAGATCTCCATCAATTCCTGGCTCCTGATGTATCCCAAGCGGCTGCAGCACCTGGCCAAGGACCTGCTGGTGGCCATGAGGAGCAGCTGTGGAGCCATGGGAATGCAGGTGGGACAGCCCACGGTGCAGGAGCTGCGGGACGACCGCATCGAGACCTACGTCAGGACCATCCAGAGTTCTCTGGGAAGCCAGGTGAGGGGTGGGGACATCCCTGGGGGATCATTGGGAAGGTGGGATGGGAGCACCGGGCCTGGAGTAGAGGGGGCTCAGCGGAACTTCGTTTTTCCCTAAAAATCCGTGACAGGAGGGTGAAGTCAGTTGAGGGTTAGGAACGAAGGACAGGAGGGAATGGCCTCAAGCTGTGCCAGGGGAGGCAGCAGGAGGTTCAGATCCCTCCCAGAATCTGCTCCCAGATGTCCCTGTCCTTGGGAAGGGGGAAATGGGATTTGAGATTTCCAGGAATGGGGATGGATTAGGCAGGAGGAATTTTTTCATGGAAAGAGTTGTTAAATATGGGAATGGGCAGCCCAGGGAGGTGGTGGAGTCCCCATCCCTGGAGGTGTGGATGTGACACCTGGGCACGTGGGCTATTGGTGACCTTAGGTTTGACTCAATGATCCAGGAGGGCTTTTCCAGCCTGAACAATTCCATGATTCCCCTCAGGACAAGGTGCAGCTGCTCCTGTGCATCATCCCGGGCAGCCGGGACGACATCTACGGGGCCGTCAAGAAGCTCTGCTGTGTGCAGACCCCGGTGCCCTCCCAGGTGGGTTGGGACCCCCATTCCCAGGAATCCGTGGCTGTCTCCAGCCTCACTTTTCCCTGTGTTTTTGCTCTCCGTAGGTCATCAACGCCCAGTCCCTCACGGGCCATCCTGGCAAGATTAGGAGCGTGGTGCAGAAAGTTCTGCTGCAGATCAACTGCAAGCTGGGCGGGCAGCTCTGGGGGGTTGATATCCCACTGGTAAGGCAGGAAAACCCTGGGATGAGCCTGGGAGGGGGTGAATTGGGTGAACCAGCTGGAGAATCAGGGTTGGCTTTTCTTGGGTGTGTGTGAGTCCCTTGGAGCTGTAGGGATCCGAGCCTGGAGGTGTCTGACTTATCCCTTAATCCCACCTGGCTGTTTCTTCCTCTTCCTGAAGCAGCTGAGGGTTGTGGGCATGGACATTATCCCTAAATCCCACCTGCCTTTCCCCCTCTGTTATCCCTAAATCCCACCTGCCTTTCCCCACCATTATCCCTAAACCTGCCTTTCCCCCTCCATTATCCCTAAATCCCACCTGCCTTTCCCCACCATTATCCCTAAACCTGCCTTTCCCCACCATTATCCCTAAATCTACCTTGTCCCCTCCATTATCCTTAAACCTGCCTTTCCCCCTCCATTATCCCTAAACCTACCTTGTCCCCTCCATTATCCTTAAACCTGCCTTTCCCCCTCCATTATCCCTAAATCTACCTTGTCCCCTCCATTATCCTTAAACCTGCCTTTCCCCCTCCATTATCCCTAAATCTACCTTGTCCCCTCCATTATCCCTAAACCTGCCTTTCCCCATCCATTATCCCTAAATCCCACCTCTGTTCCCCTCCCCAGAAGCAGCTGATGGTTGTGGGCATGGACATCCACCACAGCCGGAGCCAAGGGATGCGCTCTGTCATCGGCTTTGTGGCCAGCATGAACCAGTACGTGGCTTCCTGGGAAAGGGGGGAAGGCGTTTTCCTGCTCTGCCCTTGGAATCTGGAGGATATCCCATTCCAGAACCCCATTCCTTGGCCAGGAGGGGTGTGAGGATGCTGCTGTCCCTGAGCTGCTGCGCTCAGCAAGGTCTCCCCCGGCGTGTTTGTGTCGGGAATCGCCAGGGAAAGGGCTGGGAATGCTGAACCGGGGACACTTTGGGGTTGCACAAGACCTCAGTGGACTTTGCCTGGAGCTGGGGGGGTTCCTGGTGCTCATTCCTGTTCCATCCCCAGCACCCTCACCAAGTGGTACTCCAGGGTGGTTTTCCAGATGCCCCACCAGGAAATCGCCGACAGCCTCCGGCTCTGCCTCTCCCAAGCCCTCAAGCGCTTCTATGAGGTGAGGCTGACCAAAACCACCCTCCTGTGCTTCCAAATTCCCTCAAAACAAAGGGAAAACTTCCCAAAACTTCTAGCCTGGATACGTGCAGGGGAGCAAAGCTCCCTGGCAGCCTTTGGACTGGATGTGGAGCCGGCACAGCTCATCCTTATCTCGGGAACGTGCCTCGGGATCAGTTTGCTCGGAGGGAAGTGCCGCGTTACAGCTCCCAAAGGCCTGTCCCTTGTCCCCAGCGTGAGAAAAGCAGCCTGTGACAGGGCAAGGGCCAGCAAAAATCCCAGCTCTTGGGATTTTCCCAGAGAAGCTGTGGCTGCCTCATCCCTGGAAGTGTCCAAAGCCAGCTTGGAGCAGCCTGGGACGGTGGGAGGTGTCCGTGCCCATGGCAGGGGGTGGGATGGGCTTTAAGGTCCCTTCCAACCCAAACCATTCCAGAATTCTCTGGCTTTATTTTCTCATCCCTCTGTGGATGCTGCAGGAACAGCCCTGGGCACTGGGAATTTGCTGGGCAGGAGGGCCTGGAGGGACAGGACACAGGGAATGGCTTCCCACTGCCAGAGGGCAGGGCTGGATGGGATATTGGGAGGGAATTCCTGGCTGTGAGGGTGGAGAGGGGCTGGGATGCAATTCCCAGAGTAGCCTCTGGATCCCTGGCAGTGCCCAAGGCCAGGCTGGAGCACCCTGGGACAGTGGGAGCTGTCCCTGCCCACAGCAGGAGGGGAATGAGATGATTTTAAGGCTCCTTCCCCCCAAAATCAGTCTGGAATTCTGTGATTAATGCAAACCCAGCCCTCCCCAACCCCGCCCCCCCCCAAGCTGCATTTTGGGGGGAACTCAGTGTGGGTTAAATTCCCAGCTCCATCCCTGAACACCCAAACCTGACCAGGGGATATTTTCCTGCCTCCCTCAGCTAATCCTGTGTGTGGCAGGGAGGTAAAAACGAGCTGATTTTCCCCCCTCTTCAGCTGAACCACTCACTGCCCATGAAGATCGTGGTGTACCGGGACGGGGTGTCCGACCCCCAGCTGGACACCGTGCTGAAGTACGAGGTGCCCCAGCTCCAGAAGAGCTTCCATACCTTCCAAAATTACCAGCCCAGCCTCGTGGTGGTGGTGGTGCAGAAGCAGCTGAGCACCAACTTCTACTGCCTGGCAGGAGAGGAGTTCGTGTCCCCTCCCCTGGGCACCGTCATCGACCACAGCGTCACCAGCTCAGGCTGGTGAGAGGCAGAGCTGGGGCTGGGGGAGCTGGGATGGGGTAAAAAACATCCTGGGGAGGGATAAAAAACACCCCCAGGGGGGAAAAAATAACCTGGATGTAAAAAAAACTGAGAAGAAAATGCCCCAGGGTGGAAAAAAAATCCACCCTTGTTGTGAAGGAATGGTTGTAAAACCACCCCAGGGTGCAAAAAAAAAGTAGAAAATAGCCCAGGGTGCAAAAAGAACCTCAGGGTGCAAGAAAAAATCCCAGGGTGCCAAAGAAGTTGTTGTAAAAATAGGCCAGGGTGTTGGAAAAAAACCCACCCCAAGGTGTAAAAAATGGTGTGTAAAAGGCCCCCAAGATGCAGAAAAATTGGTTGTAAAAATACCATAAGGTACTTTTTAATTTATTGTTTTTACAAAATAAGATGCTATGGAGTATAAAAACACCTTGAATGCAAAAAAAAAAAAAAAAAAAAGGTTATAAAACCACCCCAGGGTGTAAAAAAAAAGCCCAGAGTGAAAGAAAAATAGTGGTAAAAACACCTCAGGGTGAAAAAAAATCTCTGTGGAGTCCAAAAGTGAAACCCTTGGGGTTCAAAACCACCATTCTGGGATGTAAGAAAAAGCCCAATCTGGGGTTCAGAGCACCCTGAGGTACAAAAATGCTCATTTTGGGGTGGAAAAGAATAAACTTGGGGTTTGTTTTGCCCTCCCAGGCAGGATTTCTTCCTGCTGGCCCATCACTCGCGGCAGGGCTGCAGCGTTCCTACGCGCTACATCTGCATGTGGAACACAGCCAACCTCAGCTCTGAGCACCTCCAGAGGTAAGGGGTGGGGTCCTGAGCCCCCCAAAATCCTCCAGAGGGAATGGGAGAGACTCCCTAAATCACCCAGGGAAAAGTGCAGGAGTCCCTGAGATCCTACAGTCCCACAAAATATTCCAGAGAGAAGGAGATACCCTCAAAATCATCCAGAGGGAAGGGCAGGGATTTCTGCAGCTACCCAGGATTCCAGGTCCTCCCAGTTCCCTGCAGGGATAACGGCAGGGCTCCTACAAAACCCTAAAGTCCTCCAGAGGGAAGGGGAGAGACCCCCAAAATCACCCAGGGAAAAGTGCAGGAATCCCAGAGTCCCTGAGATCCTACAGCCCCCCAAAATATTCCAGAGGGAAGGGCAGGAATCCCAGAGCCCCTCCAGTATCCCACAGAAGGAAGAACAGCCTTGTGTCAGGGTGGGGACCCCATTGAGCCCCCCCCCAAATTTGGGGTTTTTGTCTCAATCAGCCCCTGGGGCAGTTTGGAGGGGACAGGTCCTTGTGCAGGAACTGGGCTGAGCCTGCTGCTCATACTGGGTGAACTGGGAGGACCTGGATGCACCACACCTGGCTCACCCCATTCCCAACCTTTGGAAGAAACACACCTGGGAGCAGATTCTGGGTGGGATCTGAACTGGGTGCATCGCCATTCCTGGGAATCCCAAATCCCATTTCTCCCTTCCCAGGAACATCTGGGAGGGATCTGGACCTGGATCCATTCCCAGGAATCCCAAATCCCAGTTCTCCCTTCCCAAGGTTATCTGAGAGCAGATTCTGGGTGGGATCTGAACTGGATCCATTCCCATTCCTGGGAATCCCAAATCCCATTTCCCCCTTCCCAGGGACACCTGGGAGCAGATTCTGGGAGGGATCTGAACTGGATCCATCCCCATTCCCAGGAATCCCAAATCCCAATTCCCTCCATGTCCCCAGGTTGACCTTCAAGCTGTGTCACCTGTACTGGAACTGGCCGGGCACCGTCCGTGTCCCTGCCCCCTGCAAGTACGCCCACAAATTGGCATTCCTGGTGGGACAGGTCCTGCACCACGAGCCCAGCGCCCACCTCAGCGAGCAGCTCTTCTTCCTTTAACCTGCCAGGACCCAGGAAAACCAGGATTGAACCCAGAAAAAAGCTGGGATGGCGCTGGGAAAACGGGGATTGCACCCAGAATTCCGCTCCCCACCCGCTGCTGTTTGCCCTTCCCCGCCAAGGGGGATCTTCCTCAATTCCCTGTTTTGGTGTTAATTTATTCTTTGTTGGTTTAGAGGATGCTGGGGATTGCAACAGCATCCCAGGGCTGTGGGTTTTTTGGGAATTATCTCCATGGGGATGAACCCAAAGGAATATCCTGCTGGTTTCCAGCCCTCCCCATAAAGGGGGTTGAATTAATGAGCCCCAAAAGTGCTGCTGCTCCCACAGCTCATCCCTATGCAGGTGCTGGATATAAATCCCAAAGATTTTGGGGTTTTTTCCTCCCCAGTTTCTTGCATTTCTACGCAGGTTTGAAGGTTTTTTTCCTGGGCTTTTTCAAGCTGCTGTTGAACAAACTAGCTCCAGTTTGGCCAGTTCTCCTGTCCTTGAAGAGTCACTGGTTTTCCAAGGAGAATTCTTTGTCGATTCAGGTCATTACCCCAGGGAAAGGTTTGAGTTTTCACCTATTTTGGGTGCTTTTTCTGCCTTAGTCAAGACAAATTGGAATTCCCTGATTTTTCTCTTTACTGTAACCAGTTTTTTAGTTCATTCCAATAAAACCGTTGCTGACAGCTGCTCCCTCGTGGATTTTTGGGGGGATGCTGGTGGCCACATCCTGCCCCTCATTCCCGAGGGATCCCAGGATGGAGCAGGGACGCTGAGGGGAGGATCACAGCACCAGAGCCGTCACCTTGTGCCCTGGGTTAATCATTTATCCCCGTTTATTTGCCAATCCCGGCGGACTTTGGCAGCCGTGGCCCAGCCTGGGATGGGATTTAGGAATAAATCTTGGCCCTGGGGGTGCTGGGCTGGGGATTTTGGGGGTCCCCCAGTTCTGCTTGACCCCCTCCAGCAGCTTTTTCTATCCCAGCTCTGCCTTTTCCTTGGCCCTGAGAGCAACTTGGCGCAGGGAGAGGAGCCAGGATGGGTCTGGCTGCCAGGATTTGTTCCCCCCTGAACCCCCAGGGGTTTTTCCAGGGGGTCCTTGGGGGTCCCCCAGCCCCACCCCAGGGGATGTTTGGTGCTGTGACCCCTGGGGAAAAGGGTTGAGGGATGCTCAGTGCCCCTAAAGGGTCCGTGTGGTGCCCACGGGGGGTGTTGGGGGATCCCTGGGGTCCCTGATGCTCTGGGAGGATCCCTTAGAGGGGTCCTCGGGGGTCTTGGTGCCCCCAGGGTGGGTGTTCAGTGGGTTCCATGGGGTCCCAATAGCCCCGGGTGGGTTTTTGGGGGGGTCCCAGTGCTCCCAGGGTGAGTGTTGGGGGCTGTTTATGGGTTCCAGTGCCCCGGGGGGGTGGGTTGGGGATCCCCGGTGGGATTTTGGGTGTCCCAGAAAGGGTTTTGGGGGGTCCCGGGTGGGATTTTTGGGGGATCCCGGGTGGGATTTTTGGGGGGTCCCGGGTGGGATTTTTGGGGATCCCGGGTGGGATTTTTGGGGGGTCCCGGGTGGGATTTTTGGGGGTCCCGGTGCTGCACCGCGTAGTGGGCGTGGCCTGATGCGGCGGGGGCGTGGTCTGAGGCAGCGGCAGCCAATGGGAGCGCTCTCCGTGCCGGCGGCCGCGCATGCGCCCTGTGCGGCCCCGAGCGGCGGCGGCGGGAGCGGGAGCAGAGGTAGGACCGGGATGGACCGGGACGGGCCGGGACGGGCCGGGATAGGCACGGCAGCCCTGCCATGCCACAGGGAACGACTGCGGGGACGGGCCGCCGTGGGGAGGGAGGCAGCGGGCCGTGGGGAGCGGGCTGGGGCCGGCCCCGAGCCCCGGATGGGGATGGGGGATGCAGGGAGGGATGTAGGATGCAGGGAAGGATGCAGGGAGCGGCTGTTTAGGGTTTGGGACAGGTCCTAGGGCCTGGAGACAGCCACGGGGGCTCGTTTTGGGACAGCCCCTGGGGTCTGGGGCAGGTGAGGGTGCAGGTGAAGGTGTGTTCTGAGGTGTACGACACTGTTATGGGGTGCAGGGCGCAGTTTTGGGATGCAGGGCCCAGTTATGGGGTCTGGTGCCACCAGTAGAAGCTGTGGGACCAGGCAGCAGCGGTGGGATGGGGCAGGGACTGGGGGACAGCAGCAGCTCCGGTGCAGGGGCCACTGGGCAGGACTGGGGGTCGGTGTGGGGTGGGATGCCCGGGGTGTCTCCACCTGCCCGCCCCGGGGCCTGCCATCACGGGAAAGGAAGGGACAGGACCCTGCCCGGAGGCTCCGGGGGCAGCCCAGGGTATCCGTGACCCAGGAACGTGTCCGCTGCCCGCCCCGGGACGAGCCGCAGGGAATGGAAAACCTCCCTCCTCCTCCTCCTTGCCGCAGGACACGTGGAGCGGCGTTTGCTCCGGAAGGAGCGGGATGGGTCCCGGGGGGGGGTGGTGGTGGAATTTGGGGGCCCCCGCTGCCCCCCTCCCCTCCAGGTTTGCGCCAGCCAGCTGTCCCTGCGCGGGATTTCGGGAAGCGTCTGCCTGACGTCGCCGGGTCATGCTCGGCTGTGCCAGCGGTTCTTATTCCCTTCAGGAAGGCGTCACCTTCCCGGGAGCAGGGGGGGAGGGATGCATGTGGATTGCGGCCGGGATCGATGATCTCTGGGTAGTGAAGCCCAGGGAGATGGGAAGGGTTTGCCCGGCCTTGGGAGCTGCGTTGTGCTGTCGTGGCTGCCGGGCATCGCTCCCGGGCACATCCCTCCCGGGCAGCCGTCCCTTCCCGTGGCAGCGGTTTGTCCCCGTGCCCCATCCCGAGGAGCGATAAAGTAGGTCAGGCGCTGGCTCCAGGCTCCGGGAACGCATCCCGGTGGAAGGACGCCCTTGAAGGTAGCGGGCAGGAGGCCGGGGGGCTGCCGAGGGGTCGCGGCTGGCGGTGGGGATGGCGAGGGTCGCTGTTCTTTGGTGTTTGCCGCAGCGCGTTTGTCCCGGGAGGCCGGGCCGGGTGTGCTCGGCACCCTCCTGCCTTGCCCTGAGATTCCAGCAGATCGGAGCCCCCCGGGATGACCCTCTTTGGGCCCTTCTCTTCCGCAGGGGCGGCTCCTCCACCTCGTTTTGCCCTAAAACGGAGCGAGCCCGTGCAGCTCCGGCCTCTGCCCCGCTCTGCCCGCTCAGCGCTTCCTGCCTTGCCTTTGGCAGCTGAGGGAAAGTTGAGGTCCGGTTTTCCACCCTGGGTGTATCCGGCTCAGCCCGGCTTTAGGAGAAACCCCCGGGAGGGGTTTTGGCAGCGGGGAGAGCTGCGTGCCTTGGCACAGACCGGGACATCGGTGCGCAGGGAGCGGGACGGCTCCCGAAGGCACCGGGGACATGGGGAGCGCTCGGCTGGGAAGGGCAGCCAGCGGGGACGTGCGGCCAGCCGGGACAGACCTTTAGCACGGTGGGATGTTTGCCAGCACCTGTGGGAGTCACACATAGGTGACTGGATGCCCCACTTAGCCCAGGAGGAGCCACCTGGAAGGGTGGATTTGGGATAGGGAGGCAGAGGAAGGGTCTGGGCTCGCTGGGGGATGCTGAAGAGGCAGAGTGTCTCTCGGGGCTCCGAATTCAGCGGGGTGTTCCCAGCACCAGCACTGCTCTGGGTGGGCTCCCTCCCTCGTTTTGGGGAGAGAGGGGTTAAGTCAAAGCATCCGAGCTAAGCCCTGGCAGGAGGAGGCTAAAACCTCCCTGAGAACAAAGCTCACAAAGTGGTGGTAAGCTTAGCAAGGTAAAACCTGTGGGAATGTGGGAGCCTTCAGGAGGAGTGGGGTCCTGGATGGGGAGCAGGGTCCTGCGGTTCCCCGGCAGCCCCTCGGCGTGGAAATCCTGGCCCCAGGTTATTTTTGGAACAATTGCTTGGCCAAGCTTCAAAAATGTCCTGGTTTTTGGAAGAGACTGGAGCCTGTGAGCCGTCAGCACAGGCCAGGCACTGCGGGGTGTCCAGGGCTGGGTCAGGAGCACCAGGGAAGGGGAGCCAGGGGGATCAGGAGGTGTGCCTGGAGCCCACACTGGGATCAGGATGGCTGCTGCACTATTGGGAGGCAGCAGACTTTTATTTTCTCCTTGCGAATCCCAAATTTGCCATCTGCCTCTCAGGGAAGCTTTTCCAGGCAGGCAGCCTGAGCTCCAGGCTCTTGGGTGCCTCCCAAGGTGGACGTGCAGGTCGTGCCTGTTGTTGCCCTCCCCTCCCTGAGCCCCTTCCTTTGCACCCCGGGGCTGTGCCACCCCTCTTTTATCAATTCCCAGCACATATGAAAGAGGCACAGAGGGCAAGGATTGATTCTGGGCAAACACTATAAAGGCACCTGCAGTTAGAGCGGGGAAGCACTCGGTTCATGGTAATTATCCTGGTTAAATTATAACCTAATGAACAGGCCACCTCTGTCCCTGGGGCTCCCATGCTCCTCCGGGCGCTGGCATTGAGGTCCCAGAGACGTTTGTGTCCCAGCCCCGGTGACGCCGAGGGGACCCACGCGTGGCCAAGGGCTGGAGCGTGACTCCTCACCCCCTGGAGAGCTGCATTTGGGGCTGGCACAGCTGGATTTCTCACAGCCCTCCTTGCAGCCCTGCCTGCTTCCCGACCATCCTGCTCTTCCCAGGATCTCTGAGGTGCTGTGGAGCTGGAGAGCCCCCGGGAGCTGGGTCCTGGCAGCCCCCCATGGTGAGTGAGGGGCTTGGGGTGGCTCAGCATGGAGGAGGAGAGGGTGGTCTTGCATGGAAAAATTATGGAAAAATGCTCTGTCCTCATCAGGATCTGGGTGCTCCCAGTGCTGTTCTGTCTTTCCCTGAGGATAAATCCATCGGTGGGGTGGAGGAGCCGTGGTTGGAGCGCTGGGAATGCCAAAGCCAACAGCGGTGTGGTTTCTCTCCCAGCATCCCAGACACACCATGATCCCCAGCGTGGGGCCCCGGAGCTGCTGCCTGCTCCTGCTGCTCTGCCTCCTCCCCTGCCCGCAGGTCCGGGCGGGCAGGGACAGCACCGGAGTCTCCGCAGCCTCCTTCCTGCAGGATCTGCTCCAGCGCTACGGGGAGAGTCAGACTTTGAGCCTGAAGCAGCTCAAGGCCCTGCTGAACCGCCTGGATGTGGGAGTGGGACACGCCAATGTCTCCCAAACGCCTCAGCAGCGCCTGAACCTCTCCCGGGTAAGGAGGGGACCCCTAAATCCTCCCTGCAGACCCCCAAAACCTCCCTGCAGGCTCCTGGAATCTCCCTGTGGAGCTGTGGGAATCTCAAGGCACCTTCCTGTCCCTTCCCTCCCCCAGTGCTTCAGCTCCATGGAGCTTTTCGCCATCCACAACCTGAGCGAGGGCTCCCCTGTGGGGCACAGCAAGTTCAAGGAGTTCTGCCCCACCATCCTGCAGCAGCTGGAGTCAGGGGCGTGCGCCTCCGAAAACCTGGAAAATGAGGAGAACGAGCAGACAGAGGAGAGCAGGCCCAGCTCAGCTGAAGGTAATTGGGGTGCTGGGGGGACCAT